ATAAAAATAAATATTTTATATATATTTCAAGATTGCTTGTTTCTGTAATGAATTAGTGTCTGTATTGTTAGATTTCATTTTGTTTAGCTTTTTTCAAGCTTTGTCGCCACTTACGAATGGCAGTTCCAGAACTGCTAGCCACTACACAAAGGGCACCACCCACAGTCCACCAAGTTGGTAGATGATTGAGAAAAAGAATTTGTAAAATAAAAGCAAACACCACATCCATTGTTTTCATTATGGCTACAGGTCCAGCTTTCTCTATCTGTAATGCTTTTGTGAGAAATATCTGACCCCCTAATCCTAACAAGCCTATTAATATTAGAAGAACCCTATCTTTACCACAATATGGTAAACGCCATTCATTCATAACAAACAATGCTATAACACATCCAATTAAACCAATGACTGCGTAATACCAAATTGACAAAAAATAATGCACAGATTTTCCCACCTTCCTCAGTATAACAAAAGTCGAAGCTGCAGATACTGTGCTTGTAATCGCAGCTATAGTTCCTTTAAGGTGATCTGCGTAACTTCCTTCAATCCCCTTAACGTTTGACCCAAACAGAAATGGTGGTCTGGCAATAAGAACCACTCCAGTGATTGCGAAGAGGGTAAACAGAAGATCCCAAACACTGTATTTCTCTTTGAGAAAGATCCATGCCAGCAACGATGTAAAAACAGGACTGCTAAAAGTTATAACAGTGGCATCAGCTAGTGGCATGACTTGGAAAGCATAGTAGAGAAGAATCATTGCGCTAGAGCCAAGGAATCCTCGGAAGAAAAGAAAAATTCTTTTACCTTTTGGTCCCAAAAACCCTGTTCTGAAAAACAGAAATGTCACATTAATGTCACTGGCTTGCTTATTTCATGACCAACATCCAATCACATTTAAATGTACACACCCTTCTAGATTGTACCTTTCTAGATGAGGGACTTATCTCAAATATCAAAATATTTTAAACTGTCTGATCACAGACCAATTCATTCGCATCACCACCCCCAACCACATTCAGAGTCCAGAACCTGTTTTTCTAGCTATTAATTTTTTGCTTGCAGAATAACCCTAGAGTATCTACAAATTACCTTCTATTTTTTAAGAACACCACTTCATGGAAGATCAGTACATTTGATACAATCCCTGTAGAAACCTCTACAATTCAGGGAGTCAAAGATTTTCAGTTTTCTGAATTGTATTAAGAAACTATCAACTAATCCAAAACAATGCAGTTATGCAATTGAAGTCTGCATTAAAATAATATTGCAATCTGATTTAAGTGTGTGATAATTTTAGATCTATTTTTAAGAAACAACTTTAAATTTAAACATTTGCTACACTTACTTGTAGTATATTAAACCAGGAAGAACGAATGCCATTTGGAAAACACATCGAAATGCACTCACTTCCACTGAATGTACATCTTCTATTTTTTTAAGAAATAAAGAGGCCACTGAGAAAAGGAAGGCAGACAGTATGGTATAAAACAGACCAAGTCCTGGACAGGCAGCTTTCTTCTTAGTTCCTGCAACAGATAAACTCCAGTTAATAACAACCTATTATAAGATTTCTCAGGTCAGGTGGCTCTACATACTGCAGTACTCCATACATTTGTACCTATTCTTGTGGTAGAGGACAGGGGAAGCAAAAGAAAGAAATGCAAATACTACATGTATTTACCAGACCTACCTTGAAAATATATTTTGCTGATCAGGGCTTTCCTTTTTTTTCTTAAAACAGGAGATAAGAGATGAACTCTAACGCTTTGGATACAAAACCATTCCTACACTTCTCACAGCTCTACATGAGTTAGTAGGCTTTACTTCTTGGAGGCATCAGACTAGTTTGGGCGATTCACTATAGGACTACCTGTGTGATTCTGACCACCGCCCAAGGACCAACATATACAACTGACTGCAAAATGGTCCATGGTCAGATTCTGAAACACTGAAACTTATTACCTGGGAATCATCTGATTATTGAGGAAGTTAATTACGGTTCCTAAGCAACAATCTAATTTCCTTTCTCACGAACACACACACGTAAAAATTGTGTACAGAACCTCACTTCTGTTATACCTCATGTTTATTTTGAAGCTAAATCACTCTAAATTTGATTGAGACCTTCGGAAGGTTTATATGACATTTTTATCTTGCTGTAAGAATCCAAATATTTTCTTCAAATAAACATCAAATATACATTTTTAAGCAGAAGAAATTTAAGTGACTAATTTTAAAACATCATAAGCGTGCTTAAAGTACTGATATCTATCACAGTTCCATGAAGACCTTAATTTTACCTTAGTTTATGCTTATTTATCAGATTTTCTTTTCCTGAAGTAGTTTCCCCAAGTCTAATGGTTTCTATTCAAGCTTCCCCATTGCCTTAGGCCCTCTTCAGTGACATACTCTTCCTCATTCCACTCATCTTCTCCACCCTCAACTATTAAAAAAACCCCCAACCACTATCTCCAAAGAAACCAGCCTTTTTTATTATTGCATTTCTGCATAAGAGGAACAGTCTTTCCACTGAACCTAGAAGTGAACACCATGGAAAAGAGAACCCATCTAAAAATTAGAGTAGGATGTTACCTCACTATCTCTTTTCCTTCTCTCTGCATAAAACATTGGGAGTTACCTTTTCTTCTACAGCACCCTCTAACGATAAGGGCAAGAACTCCATGTCCCTCAGGCAATGTTTTGATAAAAGGGTGCCTCATCTCACATTAGTGTGGGAGCCCATGAGCCTTACAGATCCTCTAAAACATAATCAGCAGGGCACTGCTGTGAGTTGCTTAGCAACTAAATATGGTTTTGAGGTTTTGTTTTGTTTTGTTTTGGGTGTGTGGTTTTTTTTTAAATCCACAAAACTTGTCACAAACCATTTTGATCCTCCTTGAGATCAGAACTCAAGGCTGAGAAACTGCTTCTTACTACCTAAGAGCTGAGACTGTGGGCTGACACAGCATATACAGCATTGGTTCGGGCTTTAACAGTTCTAGAGACCCAGGCTTTACAACTGCAACCAGACTTTAAAGTAGGCAGAATGCCTGCTTTTCAAGGAATTCAGCCACACTGCTGAAAATGAATGACAGTTTCGACTAGAAATTTTTCTATTTAGCAACAGCCACTTACATAAAATTCACTATAAAAACTACCACCAACCAACACTGGACCGGGACATCTATCAACCATGAAACAGAGTGGATTTAAAAAATGTTCATGAATTATGTGATGTTCTAATCCACATAGTCATGCAACAGAACTGCAAAATCAACAACGTCTCTAATATTAAAGCAAGAAGAATCAGACTGGCCTATAATTGAAATGGGAAATCCAAACCCAGGCTGGCTTATGGATGAACACAGCACAAACAAAACTATTAACTTTTATTTCTGGCATGATAGCTTGTCTGATTACTACAGAACGAAGCCAGCCTAAATAATAGAAGTGTTGAAATGGAAAACCAATCAAATTAAAGCAAAGTAAGCTGAAAGGATCTTACACCCAGAACTAAGCTCTGGATTTGAAGGAACAAAGAAAAACCAGGAGGAACTCATTTTTGTAAGCTATCCAATATACCAAGCCTATCAGAAACAGTGTCTTGTAATACTAGAATTTAAACCATCAACATCTCATATTGCCAAAGCATGTACTCAGTGCAATGAGAAAGTGTTTTATTTCCTTTTAAAAATAAAATGGTACAAGTTCTTCCACCAAAAACAAGAATTGCAGTTCTGAAGAGTACTTATTTCAAAATATGTTCTAAGGAGAAGTTAGGTTAAGATAACATTCCCACCCCAGAAAATATTAAGCCTCCAAACACTAGCCCAATGCCATCAAAATACTCAAGCACTCATGCTTTTTTTAAAAAGTGTAGCAGTCTGAAAATAAAAAAGTTTCAAGTAGTACCCAAGTCCTCTTTTCTGAGTGGCTACAGATTAGAGATTTGGTTTTCCAATTTTATTCCCTGGCCACCTCCACAAGTAAGGCTTTCAAACAATCTTCCACTCCTGTTTTAAGTCCTAGTAAAATGCCTCCCACCGCATACCATTTTCTGTGTAAATTCTTTTTGTTTGCGTTTTAACGCCATGCTTTCTTGCAAACAGTTTTTATACTTGCCAAATGCATACAGTGAAGCAAATGACATTTCCCACATGCATCTTGAGAATAGTAGCAAAGGCAGAAGAGTACTGGCTATGGGGAAGGTGGTCAGTTGAGAAGAGGATTCTCCCAGACCTTCAGGAAAGCCAGAAGAGGGTGATCCGTTCTTCACACCATAAGAAGCAGAAGAACAGCTCTCTCACAGACTTCAGGAAAGTGCCAGGAGCACAACAGCCTGCTTATGAACTAACCATGGTCACGCAGACAAGATCTAGGCATGATTCATAAAGTTCAGCCATTGACTCAATTAACATTTTGCTACACAGACTACCAAAAAAAAAAAAAGATCTTTTTTGGTGAATAACTGCAAGTTTTTCAGGATTTCAAATATTTTTTTCCAAGCTTTGCCTCAGAAGTGATACTAATGTGAATTTCGCTGGTGAAGTTCACTATCTCTTTTGGCCTCTCCACAGCTCACTAGCTAACAAAGATCGCCATTTCATCCATTTTCTGCTGGAAAGTCAATTATAGTCTGTACTTAATGAGAAACACATTTTCAGTGAAGTTGTTTAAAAATTACACATGCTAAAGTACTTCAGATAACAACTTCAAAAATTATTTTAAGATGGCATTTATGTTTTAAAAGGAAGCCACATTAAAGTTACAAAACCATGTTGCGTATTTCACAGTAAATTTGTGAATTTAACAACTCAAAGTGACCAAGAAGTGAAGCACGGATTAAGACAAAGTAAAGAGTACGCTCACAGTAAAGCAAGGTAAGAATTACCAAGGAAGTCATAGTTGCAAGTACATGGACTTGTTGAACAGCACTGATGCCCCTTCTCAACCTATTTACAGTGCCAGAAGTTCACACGGCTAGAAGGCACCTCGATTTACCCAAACCTGACAAGTCTTACTTTAAAACTCTGACAGCAGGAAGTACTGTTTTCCCGAGGGATAATCGCTACCGAGGCTCTCGCAGCCCTACGTGTAGAAGGGACAGAGCAGCAGCCCGCCTCTGGGCATGGCAGCGAGCGGTGCGCGGCCCGAGAGGCCCCGAGCGCTCTGCCCGCTGCCGGGGGCGAG